GGGCCCTGTTTCTCTTCTATGAATTCTTTTTTCCTTTCTTTTTTTCTTTTTTTTTTTTAAATAGATTTTTTTTTTTTGGCTATAGGGAGTGTGCACTCGCCAGAGAGAGACAGAGACAAAGAGCAAGGGAAAGTGAGAATCACCCTCCTGACCCCAGGGAGAATGGCCACATTGCAGTCTCCTCTCAGGATTTGGGGCAATTACACACACATGCCTGGTGTGTTTTGCAAGCTGCTGGATCTGGGACTCAAACCATGCAGTCAGCCATGTGGGACCCAGTACCTTAACTAGCATGCCATCTGCTGGCCTTATGAATATTTTTATCCACAGACAGGTCTTTGTGTGACCATATACTGCCTTTTCTTTTAGGTAAATACTTAGAAATATAATGGCTAGATCATATGGCAGGTATGTATTTAGCTTTTTAAAAACTACACTGTTTTCCACAGTGGTTGCACTATTTTATATTCCCAAGAGTAGTATATGAGAGACCCAGTATCTCTGTATGTATATGTGTATATGTGTGTGTGTGTGTGTGTGTGTGTGTGTGTGTGTGTGTGTGTGAGGTTTTTGCTATAGGGCACATACACTCGCCAGAAAGACAGAGTGAGACAGAGAAACAGAAAGCAAGAAATCACTCCCCAGGGGGATGGCCACATTGCAATCCCTTCTCCTCCATTCTCCTCTCGGGATCTTGGGCACGCACGCACACACGTCCAGTGTGAGTTTAAGCCACCAGGTCTAGGACTCGAACAGTGGTCAACTACATGGAAGTTCGGTGACATAGCCATTAAGCTAATTGCTGGTCCTAAGTACCTCTATATTTTCACCAACATTTGGTAGGGTCAATCTTTTTCATTTTAGAGATTCTATAATAATATATGTATAGCAATATCTCATTAAAAATTTTTAAGAGAGATTTCTTTCTTCTATAGGGCACATGCACCACCAGAGAGACAGAAAGCGAGAAATCACCCTAAGAGGGATGGCCACACCACAATTTCTTCTCCTCCTTTCTCCTCTTGGGATTCTGGGCATTCACACACACGTGCCCAGCATGAGTTTGAAGCCACTAGGTCTGGGACTCAAACCGTGATCAACTACTTGGGAGTCTAGCAACATAACCATTACACCATTTGCTGATTCCTTTCGTTAAAATTTTAATTTGCTTTTTCCTAATGATTAAAGATTTTAACATTTTTCTTATGCTTATTTACCTATCCAATAAGCAAAATATAAGCTTATTAAACAAAATGAGCATTCTTTTGTTCAAACATTTTGACCATTTTTAAAATAAGTTGGGCCAGCCCCATGGCATAGTGGTTAAGGGAGTCAGATAGCACATGACTGATGATGGTTTGGGTCCTGGTCCCAGTGGGGACTACATGGGAGTCCAGCGACATAACCATTGTGCCATCTGCAGGTCCCTCAATTTATTTTTTATGAATTGTGCTTTTGTAGCCATATCAAAGGAATCTTTGCCTAACCCAAGGTTTACAAAGCTTTTTTCTTTAGTTTCTTCTAAAAGTTTTCTACTTTGGGGAACCAGCAGTTAGCGTAATGGCTATGTCACTGGACTTCCACGTGGCCGCCCGCCGTTCGCGTCCTGGACCCGGTGGCTTAAAACTCACACCGGGCGCGCGTGCGTGCGTGCCCAAGATCCCGAGAGGATAATGGAGGAGAAGGGCTTGCGGCATGACCATCCCCCTTGGGGATGATTTCTCACTTTCTGTCTCTATGTCTCTCTCTGTCTGTCTGGCGAGCGCACGCGCCCTATAGCGAAAACCTCTCCCCCCCAAAAAAAAGAAAAAAGTTTTCTACTTTTAAGCCTTATATGTAGTCTGTTTCGCATTGATAATTTTATATGATATTAGGTATGAATCAAGTTTCTTTTTTTCACATATGAGTATTCAGTTCTAACACATTTGTTGAAATGACTATCCTCTTCTCACTGAATTGGCTTTGAACCTTTGTTGGAAATCTGTCATCCATGTTTGTGTGGACCTATTTCTGAGTTCTCTATTCTATTCCATTGATCTATTTGTCTTTTTTTTTTCTTTAATTTTTGACAGAGAGCATGTGAGCTCATCAGAGAAAGAAAGGCAGAGAGAGAGAGGGAGAGGAAGGAAGCACCCCCTGTCCCCCAAGCAGGGTATGGTCACACTGCAATCCCTTCTCCATTTCTCTCTCTGGTTGAGATTTTTGCACTTGCACCCGTATGTCTGGCTGTTTTTCAAGCCTCCAGGACCAAGATTCAAACCATGTGGTCAACCATGTGGAATCCAGCCCCCTTAACTACCAGGTCACAGGGCTGGCCCAATTTGTCTTCTTTACACCTACACCACAAGGCTGTGATTGCTGGAGCTTTCTAATGAGTTCTGAAGTCAGGTACTGTGAGTACTACTTTGCTCTTTGGAAACAAAGTCTTTTGGCTACTCTATGCCCTTTGCACTTCCATTTGAATTTTAGAATCAATTTGTCAATTCCAGCCCAAAAAAAAGTTTGCTGAAATTTTGATTGGGATTGCATAAATTCTGTACATCATTTTGAAGAGTATCACCATCCAAACAGTACACTTTAAAATTAAAACATAATTTACAAAGCATAAAATTCACCACTTCCAGTGTATAATTCAGTGGTATTTAGTGCACTCACAAGGTTGTATAACCATCACCACTATCGAATTCCAGAACATTTTCATCACCCCGAAAAGAAAGCTCCCATACCCATCAACCGTCACTCCACTTCTCTCCTTCCCCCTTCCCTGGCACCTGCTCATCTGCTCTGTCTCTGTGACATTGCCTATTCTGAACATTTTATATCAATGGAATGATCTGACATGTGACCTTTTGTGTCTGACTTCTTTCACTTAGCATAATATTTTCAAGGTTCACTCAAGTTGTAACACACACCCTAACAATACTGAGTCTAAACACTGAAATACTGGGTCATCAGAAAAGGTCATGATGCATTTTTCAGGTTTTCTATACAAAAATGCATCATGACTTTTCCAGTGACCCAACAAATAGAGAGATGCAGGCTTGAAACACTACACGGAAACCGAGTTTTAGAACTAAATGCCTGGAGACCAGCAGATGGCATAATGGTTACATTGCTGGACTCCCATGTAGTTGACCACAGTTCAAGCCCCAGACCCAGTGGCTTAAAATTCACACTGGGCATGTGTGCATGTGTGCCCAAAATCCTGAGAGGAGAATGGGAGAAAGGGGTTTGGGGTGGCCAGCCCCCGGGAGGTGATTTCTCACTTTCTGTCTCTCTGTCTCTGTCTCTCTGACAAGCATACACACCCTGTAGCAAATCTCTCTCTAGAAATGAATAAATAAATAAAATAAAGCATACATATTTGCTTATTCTTCCTCAAAGTAAACCATGTGATTGACTTCCAGTTAACGGAGGGTATGGCTGGCTGGAGTTTGTACAATCGTTGAATTTTAGAACTGACAGGAAGCTTAGAAATGTTCGGTCAGTAGGTTGCAAACCAGTTGCCCAGAAGCCAAGTTGGCAACCAGGCGTGTCTGTGTGGCCTATATGGGATGTGCTTAATATGAACCAATATTTCAGACTGTGGGAGCTTTCAGAAAAAATGCTTTTTGAAATGAGCCATTTGGCATCCCAGAGCCTCCACTGCCTGGCAGTGGTGGGTCAGGCGGAGCAGAGGAGCCTTCTCTGGGCTCCTTGTCCCACCACTCACAAAGGGCCCCTGCGCCCTAATACCTGTCGCTGAACTGGCTGGCCACCCCTCCCACCCAGTCTATCCCTTTTATAGATAAACCTAGGCCGGGTGAGGGGATTTTCAGGGGACAAACCATGAATGCTCTTGTGGATGTCCTCCCCCAGGAGTGACCAAAGCACTCCAGTTTGCTTGTGACTTTGTGCATTTTAGCAGGAAAAGTCCTGTAGTCCTGGAGCCCTCGCGGTCCCAGACAAATCGGGACAGTTGGCCACACCACCGCTCACTTCCTACTCTTCTCCCCCCCACACACACACAGAAAAAACATAAAATAGTAAAATAAAATTCAGGATTTGGTTGAACTAAGATTTCATCTTTTCTCTGCCCTGCTTGCCAGGAGAGGCACCGCCGTGGCCAGCTCCACCAACTTTGGTTCCTTTGCTGTCCCTCACCACAGCCTTCCTGGGCCCGGTTCTGGCACGGCTTGGTGACAGAGGACGCCTGGCGCTACCCCGGGTGCAGCCGACAGCAGCGCGCTGCTGCCTGGCTGCCAGATGGCAAGCGCCTGTGCGTATGATTAGGTGGCAGACTGCGCTCGGAACCGGGCAAGCCGATGATGAAAGCTGTTAAAGGAACATTGTTATATGACTTTTCATAGTTTCCCAAGTAAATATTACACTCGCTGCTGCTTGAATTACTAATGCCTTGGAAGGGGAAGCTGAAATCTGTTCCCAAACAGACTCCTCTTTTTTCTCTGTCACCTAGGCGCTCCGCATTGTTGTCGGATTGTTTTCCTGGGCTCGCCCGTCCTCACAGCTCAGTGCATTCCCTCAGAGTGATCTCTTGGCACTTGAAAGCCCCGATCTGCACAGCCACCTCATTTCCCAGCTCCTCCCATGAGCTGCCTCGCCAGCAGGCACCTCGCCACAGGCAGGTGACCCACAGGGCCCCCATCATGGGGCAGGAAAGGGAGCAGACAAGGGCAGCCACCGCTCTCCCGACCTCTCCAAAGAGCCCTCACTCTGCACAGCACCCTCAGGTAAGAGCAAAGGACCCCTGCCGGATGGACTTGTCACCTCCGAGCCCCCCCCCCCCCCCCACGC